TGTGTGTGTGTGTGTGTGATCCCTGGGACAGAGCCCCCGCTGTCACTGTCAGCCTCGGGGGCTGCTCCTGTACGTCCCCATCCTCACCTCCAAATGCTCTTTTCTCTCCTCCCTCCTTGCATGCTTGCTTTTTTTTAATGCAAACCGGTGATTTCCAGGCCGGATGCTGTGGGGCTCCTTGACTATTATCTGATGGATGCAGCATCTCTCCTGCCCGTCCTGGCGCTCAACGTGCAGCCGGGTGACTTTGTCCTTGACCTTTGTGCGGCTCCAGGTGGCAAGACTCTGGCTCTGCTGCAGACTGGGCTTTGTGGTGAGTGGAGGTTGGTGTTCCTCAGCCCCTTGCATAAAACGGAGCTGGGACAGTGTGCTGTGCCCATTAACGTCTGACCATTGATCATTTCTGGTTATAAGAGTTGGGAATCGGGTGTGTTTTTGCAAGAGTGACATTCCTGGTGTCCCTGTTTTGTCCCCTCAGGGTACCTGGCAGCCAACGATGTCTCCATTTCCCGGACAAAGAGGCTGCACCAGATTCTCCATAGCTACGTTCCCAAAGAAATCAGGGAAACTGTGAGCGTCACGTCCTGCGACGGAAGGGACTGGGAGCAGCTGGAAGGTGGCACTTTCCATAAGGTAAGTGACGAGGAACTGATGAAGATAAACCCATCTTGGTCACTCTCCTCCTGTTTCAGCTTGGTGTGTGGCAAGGGTGGAGGACTTGGGTGAGGGGCAGACTGTGCCACGAGACTCAGCTGAGTTTGACCTGGGCCCAGCACTGATGCAGGACCTGTGGCACTGCAGGTCCTGGTGGATGTACCCTGCACCACGGACAGGCACTCGGTCATGGAGGAGGACAACAACATCTTCCACAAGAGACGGACCAAGGAGCGTCAGATGCTGCCCATGCTGCAGCTGCAGCTGCTGATGTGAGTGAGCTTTGTTTTGGTGCTATTTGGGTTACGGCAGCAGCTTGCCAGGGCCAGCACTGAAACCTCTTCTTACTTTATGTGTCCCTGACTGGGAAATGTGGGAAGCCTGTGGTTTTCTGCGATGGCAGTAGTTGAACACGTCGAATCATAATAAGTATAAGAAGGTGCAAGTGTTCTTGGTCTAATGTGTTTCCTGTCCCCAGCAGCAGCCATGGGTGGTAGGGAGGAGGGTCTGAGGGACAGGACGGGTATAGCGTTGTCCTTTTGTGTGATGATCTCGGGGTCCCACCAGCTCAGGGGGCTTCCTGAGCATCCACATCTCCCAGCACACGGGAGGACATGAGCACACTTCATCGCCCCATTTCACTGGAAGGCTGGGTGGGTTGACTGTGAGCTTGGGCAATAAGGAAACAGATTAGAGAGTCCCACGGCAGCGCCTGAACTGTGAGAGCCTCCTCCTCTGTAGGTACTCTTCCTCCATTCCTGTGGAGGTGAGTGCAGGATTACTCCTCCAGCTGCTCTCCAGTGGTGTCTCTCCTATCTAAGCACTTATTCGAGGTCTGAAACAGACCTCAAGCTGCAGTGCCAGGGTGAGACTGCTGAGCCTGTGGAGCTCAAGGAGATTTATTTCTCCCCCTGTGAATTATATGCCGATTTCCCAATTTCAATGGGTAGCAATGCTGGTGTCCCACACATTCCTCTACCCCCGTGACTCTGTGTGTTTGTCTTGCCTGCAGGGCTGGCATCCTGGCTACCAAACCGGGAGGAGAGGTGATGTATTGTACGTGCTCCCTCTCCCCACTGCAGAACGAGCATGTGATCGAGAGAGCGGTGGAAATTGCAGAAACCCAGTTTAACATCAGCACCCACGTGGAGGACTTGAGCCGCTTCAGGACGCTGTTTCAGGACACGTTTTCCTTCTTCTCAGACTGCCGGCTGGGGGAGCTTGTGCTGCCTCACCTCGCAGCCAACTTTGGACCTATGTACTTCTGCAAATTACGTCGTGTGTAAAGGGACAACAGATGATGTCTGCTGGCTATCAGGAAATGCCCCAGATTTCCAGGGAAAGCTGAACTGCTTTATATTTATTTTTCTTTTTAAAATGTCCCAAAGGAAGTCTGCTTTTTTTTTACTGTGGACAAAGAGAATAAATGAGAAAGACCTGCTGTAGAGTGTCCTGAATATTTATCTTTGAGACTGAGGTGTTTAATCTAGGAAAGAGAGAGACATTTTATCAGAGGGAGTGATATATCTATCTCGGGATGGGGTAAATGGCCCTATGTGGATGCTGCCTTCTCCCTCCTGTCTGACCACTTTGATCCTAAGTGAGCAGGTTTTGGTTAACAAACACCATCTGGGGATCTCAGCCCTTGTCCCAGATCTCACCATCTGCATAACTGAGTTGCATCTGTCTCTGCTTATCTCCTGCCTTCAGGAAGAGCAGCCTGAGGCCCTGAAATGAGAGCTTCCCGGGAATGCCGCTGGTGTGATGTTGGAAATGTGCTTGGGATGCTCGAGATCTGGTGGTGGAAGGAGCTTGGTGCTGTGCAAAGGAGAGTGACTGGGGACATCCCTCATGGACAGAAAAGCTGTGGTTGAGGGAAGGTGTGAGCACTCCCATGCAGGATGGCACTTAGTGGTCAGTGGGAAGGTGTCTGTGTGATTTTGATTAATAACTGCGCATTCATACGATCACAGCCAGCAGCAGAGGATGACTGGATTTATTATAAGAGTTGCTTAACAGCTACGGTTTTATTTTTGTAAGGAAAATACAGTGCTGGGGACGGTAGACATGGCTGTGTTCCTTACAAGGCAGCCCAGAAGAAGTTGTTCCAGTGCCAGCAAGAAAATACTACTAAGCTTTTGTAATGCTTTTCTCTTGGCATTGCCACGTGTAGGTGAAAATGAGGGTGAACCCCCATCCACGTCCATCCTTCCAGGAAGGTGTAGTTCATAGATTCATCATCACTTGAGCCCAGTTTAAGCCAGTCCTTACAGGATCCATGCTTATTGGCAAGGAACGGGGTCAGGAAACAGCTTTTCCTTCCTTCTCCTCTCCTGGCTGTAATCTCTGCGTTGCTGATTGCGAAAGAGAAGCTGTGCAGCGCTGTCCCTTCCTCCTCACCTCCGTCCCCGCAGGTCTGGAGTGTGGAGGCTACGCCGCTCTCTTCTCAGGGCTGAGGGTCTCCACCTCCTTCATCAGCCGGAGGCACAGCTCCTCCCGCCATGGCAAGGCCACGCACTGCACAGCCACGGGCAGCCCCACGGCTCCTGCCACAGCGGCTCCTGCCACAGCCTGCGGTGGGGGCACAAGCGGTGAGGGGTGACCCGGGGGCTCAGACCTCCAGCAGCTTTTGGGAACTTGGTTTAGGCATGTGGCGTGTCCTGGAGAGCGGGGAGGTTGGAGGCTGAGCCCTGCCATTCAAGCAGCATCAGCACGCTGGGGGAGAGGGAAGGCTCTTGCTGTTCTCGTGATAGAAATAGTTGCCAAATCTTGGGCAGCATTTTTAAGATGCTCCCCACCTCATCCACCCACCAGCCAGCTCTGCTTTGAGTTGCCCTGCAGCCAGATCCCTTTTCCTTCAGCATCCTCATTCGTAATCCATGCTCTGCCTGGGGCAGGCATCGCGGAGCAGGAGGGAAGGGGGCAGCGCTGTGGGCTGTGGCTGTCGCGAGGACCTACTCAAAGAAGCCTTGCTGCGTGGCTCCTTCATGTTTCACCCTATAATCCAGCCTGGGGGTGCTCCCCCAGTTCTCCCAAGCTTGGTGACTTGCGCTTTTTGAGGCTTGGGAGAAAAGAGATTTGTAAGGTGTATATAAAGGAGGTGATTGTTTTTGCACTGTGCCCATATTGATGGAGACATTGAGGAGCCCCTGATTTCAGTGAAACTATTACTTGAACATCCATCAGCAGTCTCTGCTCCACCACTTTCCACGTTGCCTACCTGCTTCAGCGTCTGGTCCCAGGGGTCATCGCAGCATCCTCGGTAAAGCTTCAGCTCTTCCTCATCAGCTTCTGTCACCGTGCTGACAGGTACGACTCCAGCAGGGAAGTTGAGGACGTTGTACAGCATTGTGGAGGAGATGGCAGCTGAGAGAAGCAGGAGAGAGAAGGTAGGTAGTCATAGCCTCCCATCTTCCTTCAAACACACATTACATGTTCACTGAAACCCCTGCGAACCAGCTGCTGCTGGGAGGAGAGATGGCACAGGGCTGGTCCTCTGCAGGTCCAAGTTCTACTGCAAGAAACAACTGATTGCTTCATCCCTTCTGTGATCCCTGTGTCTGCCTGCATCTCCTCAGACAGCTTTATAGTAGTTTATTTTTTCTTCCTAATGCCCATAAAATGCTTAGGGGGGCAGTGGAGCTCTATGGTAGAGGATGTTTCTGTCCCATCTCACCCACTGTCATCCTCTGCCCTCCCGGGAAGGTCCCAGACTCACTTACTGAGGAGTTTCCCAGGGTATCCCGTGGTGAAGGCAGGCCCCAGGACAGGGCACAGCACAACGTCCAGCTGGAGCTCCCTCCACTGGGCGATGAACTCGGTGCGGTACGCCTTGGAGGAGAGGTGAGATGTCTTATCTCCTCGCCAGTACCCCCTGCACAACCCTGGTCCCAACTGCTGACCTGGCGCTTGCCATGCAGCCTCAAGTGGTAGCATGGTGTGAGAGAGAAAAGTCCTCAACACGTACCTCGATTTGATGGTGATGGTTCCACATCTCCTTCACTGACCTGCAAGTGGAATGTGTAGCAACATTTTTAAGCTCTAAGAGAAGGAGGGATTGCTTAAATAATCCTCCATGTTGAAAAGCCCTCGGTGATTTTAGTAATTACTTAAAACAATATAGTTTGTCTTAAGTTTCATCTTCGGCATTTGGCCATGCAATAAGGAACAGATGTCTGGAAGTGGCAGAGAGGTTTCTCTTGTGAGCCTGGGCTTAGTACTCATCTCCACCACGGGCTTCCTGTATGGCCTTATCCATCCAAATCCCTCCATCCTTTCAGGATAACACCAGCGGCAGTGCAGCCCCAGGGAGATGTGCTCCTCAGGGCTGAGGCCATCTCCAGGATGGAGAGACAGCCCCTGCAGAGAGCAGGTCAGAGCCTGTTGTGAATCCAGTTCCCCCACACCCTGGACACTTGGATGAGAAGGTACCGATCATGTTCATGGACATCCTGGGGACAATGCCATCTTACCTCATTCCAGCCAAAGCACCCAGATAGTCAGCCAGACGGGGAAACTGGAAAGGCAAGAGGTTCCTGTTAGGGACACGGCACAGGGGTGCAGTAACTTGTGCCATCCTGGGAAACCGCTGGTCCCATCCTGCTTCCATCCCTGGGGATGCTGCACTGAGGGTGAGTGATTATGATTAAAATGCTCCTCTGAATTTACTTTGCTTCCAACCTCTGGTTGTTGGTTTTAAATTTGTTTCTTACAGCCCAATATTTCCTGCTCACAGAGGAAGGCGCTGACTTGAACCAAGCTGCCTTTCATTATTTTTGACAAATCAAACATTTTTTAGCTTGCAATCTCACAGAAACAAGACCTCTATGAGCACTTTGATTGCCTCCCACCCACTGCTACCTTTTTGATCCTGACAAAACCCCAATGGACGGAGAGGCAGAGAAAATGGTGGCGAGAAGCCCTACAAAGGGATGTGCAGCTGGTGAGAGGGCTACAGTGAGGGCCAGTCATTAATCCTAACTCCCCATGAAGGTGTGATCTCTGGGAGGCCTCCAACACAGGGACAGTGCTTCAAGCTAGAGTCCCTCTGCTGCAGTAACCCCAGTGCCTGAATCCGTAGGAAAATGGGCACTGCTAGGTCCAACATTTGAAGAACCACTTGCTGTGGGCTCTGCATTAATCTCCTACAGCTCTGGCTGGTCCTCTCATTTCCCTTTGCACTGGATAAATCCCGGCAGGGGTCTAGAAAAGATCCCTGATACCAAGTAGTAGTATGTGCCTTGGCCTGCAATCCCAGTGTTTCTAGTGAAAGTGTCTCTCAGTACCATCACATTTTCAAGCACCTCGAGGCCTTGCTGACACCGCTCTGCTTTGGGCCTGAGGCCAGGGACTCACCAGAGGTTTAAGAATCAGAGCCAGCAGCTTCTTCCCCAGCCTTGGGATCTTGCAACAATTCACCTGCGATTTCAAGTTTGGATCTACAATATTTCCTGTGCTGAGAGACAGCAAGAGGAGGGGATCACGCCAGAGAAGCTGGTTGCCTTTTCCCAAAAACCCAAGTATCTCATGTTTGGAGATGAGCTTGTTTTGCCTGTGCATTGTGCTCATGGGCCTAGGGATGGAGGGTTCCTACTTACAACACGTCCAACCAAGCACGGCCTCCATCAGCAAAAAAGGTCTTCAAAAACAGTTCAGTCATGACGTAGTGGATCCGAGGTGGAGAAAAGGGCACCAGCTGCACCAAAACAGATGTTTATGTGGCAGCCTGGGGTTGTGAATAATTTCCAAGGCCCAACTGTGGATGTAATTCAAAGGCAGAGCAGCACCTCCCTGAGTTCTGTGTGCCAGCACAGGACCTGGTTCAAACCTTTACCAGCCCAGGCATCTCTCGATGGGATCATTCCTCCCTGACAGCCATTTGCTTCAGCTCTGAGCTCTCTCCAGATCTTTTTCCTCCTCCATTCTGTTGCCCAAACTGCACCAGTTTCCCTCCTGTCCCAGCAGCACCCACATCTCTCAGACATGGACTCACTTTGCTATGAAGAGCACCACTAGCATGTTTCCACAGGGAGGTCTAGATGGAGCGAAAGGTATTTTCCATCCCGTGCCCTGCAGCCCTTTTCCCTCAGAGGTTCAGGAAGGACAGAGATCTCCATGGGCATTGGGGAGGAAGGAGAAAAACACCTCTCAGAGCAGTGCTGGGGAACGATAGATCTAGAAAATGCCAGGGCAACCTTCCAGGGTCAAATACAGTGCTTTAAGGATGCTGCTGTCAGCTGTAGACCACAGCCAACAGGAGAGCAAAGGAGGATTCATTACACCCCTGGCCCCTTGCAGGTACAATTTTGCTAATTGCTCATGCTGTTTCCCCATGAGATGCATTGCTAGTAACTTAATCTCATACCTCTGGTAGGTCATTTATCCTCCCACTGGGCTTGGGAGCTGTCTGGTTTCTGAAGGGTGATTTCAGCAGTGAGGAGCAAAGCTGGTGACACCCCATGGAGAAGAGCACGGGGTGGTTGTGCTCACCTGGTGCCCAGCTCTCTGCAGAGCCCCCCGAGTCTCCTGCACTGCCAGCTGCATGCAAGGGGGCAGCGGGAAGTACCCATCCGTGTCGTAGTACCCGACCCGCAGAGGAGCAGAGCTGGAGTAGGCCTGGAGAAAAGAGCCACCAGTGAAGCATTTCCAACCCTGGCCCCATGCTGAAGCCCACTGCAGAAGGGGACAAAAGCTCTGGAGGTTAGGGAGTAACTAATTTTCTGGTTTGCTGCTCATTGTTTCCATAGGTTACCCTTTCCAAATATCCACCCCTGCCTCTTTATCCAACCTCCTCTTAATCTCTCCCTCGAGATAGAACACAGCCACCAGTTGATTCAACCACTGCTACAAAGGATGGAGGTGGGAAAGTCCTCCTGCAGTTCATCTGCTGCAGAGGGAAAGGAAATGTCAGTCAAGAGATTTGCTGCAGGAGTTCCTGATCCTATCTCATGTTCCCTTAAAAATCTCCAGCTTTTTACTCCTGGTGTTGCCTTCCTCCCCAGTCTTCTCTGGGCTCTCTCAATCTAATAAGCTACACACCGTATGAAAAGGCAGTAAGGCCAACTACTTAAAAAACTTTTTTTTTTCCCCTAATAATTATGAATTGCGCCCTCAAAGAGACCTAACAAGTTACTGGAAGCCAGCACTGTAAAGATAACTGGACCCTTAATGAATGCATATGTTGAATGTGCAGCACCCTCAAAAGAACTAGGGCTTGCTGACTTAAGGACTCACCTCCTCATCAAAGGGGATGGGGGGCACGGTGGGGTCCAGCCGGAACATCTCCTGACAGAGCAGCGCCTTCATGCAGAGAGCCAGGCTGTCCACATCTCTCGCCATTGGCCCCAGCGCACAAGGAACTGGAGTGAAACAAGAGCAAGCGTCAATGCAAAGCAAATGCATGCCCAAACACTGGTCCATCTCTCTGTGTGGCCATGTTGGCTGCAAGGGATGATCAGGCAATGAAGTGGGATGTTTAAGATGGGGTCCGGACAAATTTTGGTTGTCTCAGGCTTTTCCTCAGGCCTAGAGAAGGACTCTTCACAGCATGTAGATAAAAGCAATTAAAACTTAACATACTTGCCAGGATCCCACTGACTGGGCCACTCGTTCCAGACAGACTGTGGGAAAAGAAAAAGAAGTATACTGTCATGGCATATTGTCATTTCAATAATGGTGAGATATTCCCAATATGTTTGAATTGCATAGTGGGGTCTTTCGAACCAGAAGGAAATTATTAAAAATATTTTTGTCAGCTCCTACCTGAGCCTTTCAGCGGTGGGTTTGAGCCCGCACAGCCCGCAGAAGCTGGACGGGAGGCGGATCCTGCCACCGATGTCCGAGCCAATGCCCAGGATGGAGCCTCCTCCTGCGATCAGAGCTCCCTCTCCTCCCGAGGAGCCCCCGGGGCTCTTCTGGTGGTTGAGGGGGTGCAGGGTCTGGCCGAAGATGGGATTGCTGCAGTCGTAGCTGGGGAGAAGAAAACCAGCAAGCAGGCTGTCAGGAACAACAAATGCCTTGTTGAATCTCCCTTGCAATGAGCTTATATGGCATAGTTAACTCCATCCTTCCATCCCATAAATCCCTTGAGACACAGTCAATTCCCTTAAGCCTCCACTCTCCCTCACATGCACAAATGCACTTGGTTTCTCTTATGCCATGGTGTTCTTTTGTTTTGTTTTTTTTTTCCCCTCTTAATCTTATCTGAAAGATATTTTCAGTTGAACTGAAGTTGTTGGCAGCTGGTGGAAGAGAGACTGGTTCAGACAACATCTTAGGAGACAGGAGCGAGCCTGTCCCAGGACCTACAGGATAGATTTTAGCTTTAGAAGCACAACCAGAGGAAAAAATTTTAATGAAGTATGTTACTTGAAGAGGGACTGTGGCACGTTGGTCATTGCAAATGGGATGGCCCCCTGGCTCTTCAAAACCTTGACGAGGACACTGTCCTCCTGCGCCAGGGTGTCCAGGCACTGCACAAGCCCACAGGTTGACAGGTGTCCCTGCAGAAAGGAGAAGTGACAGTGGACAGGTCAGCACATTTCCTCTGCAGTTTTGGAAGGATGACCTGATGTCCCCTTTGGAGCGGGTATTAACCCACTCCCTTGCAAGCCCTCACATAAAGGGCCAAGGACTCCTTTCATTCTTGGCAGAGGCTGTCAAGCCCTTACAGGGTTCAGGCTTCTCCTGAAGCTGTCCTTGCTCTTTTCCATGCTATTTCTCTCCCCTGACCCAGGTGCAACTCCATAGGTGCCCTAGCTCAGGATGAAATCCAACATCCTGCTGTCCAAGTGAAGCCACCAGTGGATGTTCAGGGGAGGTATATACATCCCAGGCAAACAGAGTGTGATTGTTTTTCAGTTAGCCTTGGTGTTCGAGGCTTGCTTTGGGCTTAGAGCCCTCATAACTGTTTTGGTAGATCAACATGGAGGAAACTGTTTAACAAACTCAGCTCGGGAGTGTGTGGTCAATCCTCATCAGGACTTGTCTGTGAGGAGGGCCCTGGTGCATCTCATGCACAGGCTCTTCGCTAAGGGGCCCAGTGGTTATGCTACAGCACAATAGGGATTGGAGGTTAATGGTTCCTGCTGCTAATGACTTTCTAGTAGCTGAGCCATGTTCTTAACCCTGATACTGCAAAGATACTGAGTAGAAGTCTGTGTTATTGGGGGATTGGACTAGATGATCTTTTGAGGTCCCTTCCAATCCCTAACGTTCTGTGATTCTGTGATTCTGTTATGGCCCAAAGGCTTCGTAGCCCAGCCTGTGCTGTCTCACATATCAGAGAAGAAATCATTTGGGTGTATAACTAGTCACCCCTTGGTTTTCTTGCTGACGGAGGCTTCTAATGCCAGATATGCATCTGCAATGACATGTGGGGCCACAGCCTCAGACCCAGCCAGGCTTCCTGTCGTGTAAGCAGGGAGGGATCAGGCCCCTTCCTCATTCTCTGTCCCCCACCACTTCACCACCCAGCCCAGCTCACGGTGGGACACGTGACAGGGAGAAAGGGAAGCACCTTGTGGCCAATGTGATCCTTGATACTGACGGGGATGCCGTAGAGCAGCCCCTTCTCCTGCTGCTGTTGTATTTCCTGGAGCTGCTGCTCACACTCTGGGATAAAATGTCGCAAGCAGTTCGTCTGCTGGGTCACTTCCAGGGCCTTTGGTGGGCACATGAAGGAAGAGATGTTAGTTAAGAGCAGTATTGTTACCCAGCTGCATTCAGTAGCTGCTTGGATCTTCAGAACAAGGGTTAGTGGCTCTGCATGAATGGTACCTCCCTCCCCAGAGCATCCCAGCTCAAACCACCTCATAGGACTGTTCAGCAATGGGTCTGACCCAGGAGATGGAGAGATCCCTGCCTTTTCATAACTTTCTTCTGGTATCTGCTACATTAAAGACTTGTCCTAATCCCCAGCTCTAACAAGTCTTCTCAGCCACCAGCCCACACGCCATGGCATGGAGAACGTGAGTGATTTGCCCATCGTGCTGCAGACAGGTACTCACCTTCTCTAAGTAGGTGTAGAGGACAGTCCTGGGTGACAGGGAGCCTTCCCGCAGTCTCCCAGTGAGTTCCAGCAGGGGCAGGGACAGGATGGCGTCTGTCTGGACACTGGGGCCCTGCAAAGACAGGATGAAGGGAACACCAGGACAGCACCTTCAGTTACCCACTGGTCCAGAGGGAATAACGCTCTTAAGTTTTGCCACATTATCAACAGAGCTTGCTGGAAAGGCAGACCCTGCATGTTGGAGTTCAGACTCTGAGCTGCTGAGTGTTTCACCCTGAGTTTGAGCTGTTCTTTGTGCCCCATGGATATCTTGACCACAATGCAAATGTGGGAGCCCAGCTGCATCCAAAGGCATAGAAGGGCTTCATGCGTCCACTGCAGCAACTGCGCATCCAATGCTTCACATCGGAGTCTTCCTCCTGGCACTGTGGGACTTTCCCACTGACCAAGAGCTGACCTCAGCTGAGCAAACACCAGCCTGGGCAGAAGGTACCCAAGTCCTTGCACACAAGCCCTCAGGCTGGCCCTTCACCCCTCAGTATGGGTACAGGCACGGTGGGTCAGCCCCGTCTGATGACAAACATCTGATAGTTCAAGCCCAGCAAACTGCAGAGAAGTCAGTAGGGACTCGCGGGTGGGTGAGGTTTACTCAGGAGAAGACGCCTGGTGGTTCTCAGTGCCACCAGCTTTTTTGAGAGAGAGAGAGATATATATATATAAAAAATGTGATACAAGATTTAAGAAAAAAAGGTTGTAAAGATATGTATCACTGGTAGCTGGTATGTTTTATCTCCAGATACGTTACTTGTGTGAACATGAGCTGGTTTAACCGGTACCTACTCAGAAGTGAATGGAGCAAGGAGGAACAGCAGTTAGAAACCAGTGTTGCAGTAGGAATTCAGGACCACATCCATGCTGGTTGGGTGCATGCCATGTTCGTCTGCATGTCATGCCCTGGTTGCTCCCAGGGGACACCGAATGCCCTGTGTTTCATTAATATTAGGCCAAGCATCTTCTGGGCAGCCTGCTGGGCTGGGAGGTCTCACTTGTTGGGAAAGCTCTTTTGAAAATTGTCCAAGAGCCATCTAGAAAACAGGTCTTAGGGACAAAGATATAGGGGTGCAGGCAGATGTGGAAACTTATGAAGAGAAAAAGCTCGTTTGCTTCTACCTATAGAGGAAAGGCATTTCTAGATCCCTAAAGAACTGGGATTTGGATCAATGAAGGTCCAGTGATTCATCATCTACTGTTGTCCAAAACTTCTTCCCAGTGAGTAATTCACACCTCCCTGGCTGTCGACTCCCACTGCATCTCATCCAGCTTGAGAAGAGCCATGATCTCCCTTTCTCCCAAAACAACCTTTCATCTTGTTGAGGGTTGCTGGCCCCTGGACTCCTCATTATAAAAGCTATGGAGGCATGAGCTGGAAGGAGGAGCTGAAGAGCAGCATCCGCAGACACCCTGGTGGGACTCAGACCCCCCCAGAAGGACAGGTTACCTGCTCCCTGAACTGCTGGACAGCCTTTGCCACTTTCTTCACCCCCTCATCCCGGGTCCTCCGAGCGTCTTCCATTTTCTTCTGGATCTGCCTTTTGCCCCACCATTTCCAGATGCCCACGGTTGCTGCTGAGCTGCAGAGCAGGGCAAGGGCAACAGAAGGGTCCACCTCCCTCTCTGGCAGGAGCTGTTTCAGCTGCTGTTGGATCATAACGTGGCCCTCTGGTTTCTGGGGATGGAGTGAGAGGGAAAAGCGAGGCAGTAGCAGTAGACCTTCCCTGCCTGCCCAGACCTGTTCCTCCTCCCAGCACCACTGCCTCGGGTCAGCAAATAGTCTGTAAGTCTAAAGCTGACCCTTGAAAAGCTTCCTCCAGTGGAGCGTGCAGTGGAGAATGATTGACCGGGAGACAGAAAAGGTGAAGTTTGGCCAGTGAACCTTGGCGCAATGGGTTTACAGGGGCTTTCTGGACTGTGGGAAGTTCTCCACTGGGGAGGAAGGGCTGTGGCATCAGCTAAACAAATGAAGCAAGGAAATTGCTTCTCTCCTATTTCCTACATAGCCTGAGAGGACAATGGGAGAAGAGGAAAAAACAGCTTGAAATCACAACTTCCCTGCATAGGGATGGGGAACAGTATAATGAGAGGATGCAGAGCTGTGGGGTGCCCACTCACTCACCAAACCACCTAGCCCATGCTGCTCCCATGGTGGCCAGAGGCTGTGATAGGGCTCTGCACTGCCACAATGTCTGCATGCACCAGAAGAAGAGGCTGCTCCACCCTATGACAGAGCATGCTGGTGTTGCCTCAGGAGTGGAATATCACACAGCACTGCAGCCCAGAGGCAACTTATTTCCAGAAGACATTGGGACAGCTTGTGTCTGAGGGCCTTCCAGCATGGAAGCTTCTCACTACAAGCACACAAGGACCATGCACTGAGCTGAAGGCAAAAACCCAGCCCCAAAACAAATGCCATGGTCTGTCTGTGATCTCTGTTGGTTTTGGATGGTGGGTTCTCCTATGGGTACCATCTTGGATAAACGTTTTTGGGCAGTTAGATTGTGCTTTACTTGATGGCCAGAAGCCCAGAACCTGATTCTGCTCCTGCAGAGTGTTGAGCTGGATCTGGAAATGAAGGTGAAGAGCCCTCTGCCATCAGGGCTGGGCAGTCCTCTCATGCTTGATTTTTCATCCACCATCATGTCCGTTCTTAACTGCTGTAAGATTTTACTGTTGTTTTCTGTAACAGTTTGCATCAGTAGGGAGTGCTCTTCTCTTTGTTCTTAACTGGGGAAATTCATTACGGATTTTGAACAAAACTGGCTTTGGCGTCCTCTAAGAAACAGTCTGGAGCTGACGGCAATTAGCTACATGGTAACAAATTGAGCTGGCCTTTTCCTGTGGTCCCTTTCAGTTCCTCCTGAGCTAAGGTGCTGCTTTATGAGAGCAGCATCATGGGGACATGCCTGTGGCCCATCCAGCTCCTGCTCCTGCCCCATGATGCCTGTGGATGGTGTGTATGAGCAGGGTCAGCACACAGCAGTACCCAACGCTTTCCCAGCCTCTGGGAATCCATGCAAAGGCTTCCCAAGGCACAGTGAGCTCTTTGCCTGTGTGGCAGCAACATAACCTCTGTAACAGGCTGAGCAGATGTGGGAGGATTTTATCCAGTGCTGGGAAGTGTTGGGCCATTGGCTTCCCACATCCACTTGTGCACTGGGACCTGTGCTCTGCTCCTGCCCTTTAGACACTCAGCAAATGTTTAACGGAGACAGAGGCAGCTGTGTCCGGTCAGACTGCCCTTTCAAAGGGCAGATTTGTCTGCAGGCACAGCTGCGTTTCCAGGTGGCCGGATGCCGCTGAGGAAGCCCCTTTCCCTCACAACATCCCCCTTCCCCTACCAACATCCAAACATCTCCACCTCTTTCATGAACCAGAGGCATGGCTCTTCCTGCCACCACAAAACCACACACAGCACAGCCATGGGCAGCCCCATGGCTACTGTCACAGGGACATGGGCAGTGGGAAGTGAGCGGAGGGAGTGAAGGTTGAATCCACCCTCAGGACTGGGCTGGGCTTCAAGCCTGTTTTGGACCCTCAGAGTAGAAGGGAAGCAAGGGGTGCTTGGGAGAAAAATCTGCTGAGAAAGAGACCCCTGTCCCCATCGGGAAACCAAGGCAAGGAAGCAAAGGGATGTCCCAAGTCAAATCTCAAGTCCATAGCAGAGGAGACAGACCTGCCTGACTCACAGGCCAGCATTCCCTGTTACACTGATATGAATTTAATAACCAAGGACAAGTGCAGTGTTTCCGTAATGTTTTTCTTGCCTGAATTGATCCAGGCCTGAGGTCAAACTCACCAGTGGAGCTGAGATGAAAGCCAAGACTATTTTCACAAGGAGAGTCAGTCTGTAGCAGCTGGTCTGGGATCTCACTGTGGCATCCATGACATCTCCTTCACTTTGGACCATCACAGGAAAAAGGCAGTTTGACCAACTCAGACCGTCCACTCCTGTCCCCAGCAGGAGACGCACCATCTTTGCCTGCAAAGGAAAAACTGCTCTGGCTTAGTGTCATCACACTCCATCCAACACCCCCAGCCCTCAAGCACACTGGGTTTTACAGAGATTTTCTACAACTAAACTGTCTTTCCTCTAAAGTGGTAATAGTTATTTTAAGCCAGCTTTGACTCTGTTTTGGTTAAAATGACAAAGAATAAATCCTGCCAGTTTTATCTCATGATCGTGTTTTTGAAACCAAACACTCTAAAAAGTGCATTTTTTAAAACAATTTACAAAATGTGATATGTTAACTACGCTGCTCTGAAAGAATTTTAAAGATGTTTCACAGAATACTGAAATCACAGTAAAATGGGCTGGTCCCCTCTGGAGAAGTTATTCCAGTTGACTCAGAGGGGTGAATAAACGTTTTCTGGGAACTCTCCAGTTTCTGACTCATTTCAGCCTAAAATATCTATTGGAAGCGTAAGACTTTCCTCAATCCCAGTGCAACCCCACCAACACTCACAGAACATAACAGCTGGTAAGAAACTTGCCCCTACTTAATCTGCACCATTCCAGCAACCCAGCACATCAGTTGAGAGGTGAGGGTCTGTTTCCAATAACCCTTTTTTGCATTGCTTAGCCAGGACCCTGTTGGCTTTCCCTGAATAAACTGCAATAGGATGGGGGGAGAAACCTCCCATACCAACCCTCACACATCTGACAGCAGGTTTCTCTCCTGACCATCCCTACATCTTCCCCACTTTTGTGGGTATTGCACTATTTTCCTTGGGCCTTTCCATAGCCAAGTGTGTTGTATGGATCCTACTTACAGCTTCTCCTGCAAGGCAGAGACACCACCAACAAAGATGGTGTGATGAGCTGTTAGTTCTTCATCAGAAACCCAGAAGCATTCCTACTTCTTCCATCATGTCTGGTGTCTTCACAGGTCTGTCCTCACCGAGTGAGAGCAGAGACTTCAGCACCCTGATGGTGAAGGACTGGGTTGTTTCCAGCTGGGCACAAAGCTTATGGCAGGAAGTTGGGCTCTTCACCGGTCTCACCACAGCAAACAGGGCAGGGGGGAAGGCAGGTGATTTGAGTGCGAAGCACGAGAATAACAGGAAAAGAAAAATCAAATAAGAAAAGAAAAAAGAGAAGAAAAGAGCAATTAAGACTGCGCTTGGAGAGACGAGGAATTGTGCAGCTAACAGCTGTTTCAGTGACAGATGTACCAACACTAGTTCTTGCATTTTTGTGTCTGAAGTGTGAGTCTTGCTATGTCAAGATGTTTCGTTTCATCTATATTTTAAACATTCACTTTTAACTACTTCAACTGCTTGAAACTTGTTTGAAATGAATGCCTGGGATCCTGTGGATGTTCATGTTCTGTCTATTACACTAGCTTTCTTTGCTTCTGACACTGTGAGAGGCCAACTTGACCTGTCCTAACAACTCATCTTCTGCTCATACCAGTTCTTCTGGAGAGTTTTATTTACTCCTGATGTTGTGACTATACAAAGTCTAACCTGCAAACTAAAATAAACCCCTACAAAGTAGAATAAAACTAAATAAAAAATTTGAATTGTCCGATGACTCAGTCTCTCAACCATGCTCAGTTACTTATCTGGCCACAGACTGAAATGGGGGTTGAGGAAAGTGGATTTAAATTCCTATTAAAAGCAGGAGGAAGGAGGAAAAATGATCAAAGCAAAGCCCACAGGCAAGGTATAATGCTGGATATGAGAGAAACTAGTAGAAACAAAGCCCTTTTGACCCAAGCAGCATTTCTACCTAATTCTCCGAGATAGACCAAAGCCTGGACTTTGGTCAGTGCCAGGCAGCTGGACAAGTGCTCTGCAAACACATGGTGCAGGGCTGCAAGGGCTGCACAGCCCGAGCCAAGAGCTGATAGTGAAGGAGCCACAAAGGGTCTGAAACACGGCAGCACGGTGCTGGTGGGTGTGGGATGTCCTCTCTCTGGCCCAGAGAAGGTCTGGAGGAAGAACTCTCCTGCAAACCTTAAGTTTTGCCCTACCAAAGGCCTTTTCCTCCTTGAGTTTCGGTGCCTGATCTCACCAGACTGCTCTCAGCATCACTTCTCCATCATATCCTTGCAGCAATGCCAACTGACATCACGGACAACCTGTCTGGAGAAGGACCCCAAGTTTTACTCTGGAAGGTGCTTTGCTTTCTGCCAAACAGAGGCACTTACCTGCTCTTTAAATTCCAGAACAGCCTCCTACATCTGGAGCAAACCTGTCTCTTGTTTCCCCCATGCCTTGCCCATCTTCTTCTGGACATCTCTCCACCTCATCCACTGCAGTGCCGGGAGAGCTTTGGCTGAGCTGCAGACCAGGGCTGAGGGTACCCATGCTGGCAGCTGATGCTGCGGGATGCTGGGATCTAATGACTGGTTGGAGCAGGAGGAGCCGTGAATCCCTTCCAGAGCCACCCACAGAGAGCAGCTGAAATGCAGAGTGCAAGTATGCATGCGGAAATTCCTTTCAGAAACAGGATCCTTTAACTCCGTTCAGCCTTGCAAAGATATGGAGGGGTACATGAGCAAAGGTCTCTGTCCTTTCTCTGCAAAATGGGGTCTGTGCATGCTTGGATCTAGCCAGGAATGCTACCTAGGCTGGTTACCTATTCAGTGCTGAGGTCCCGTCTTCCCTGCCTGGAGAGCTATGTGGGCTTGGAGAAGGCAAAGATCA